ACGTTAGATATTTAGTAAATGGCCAATAGTTTTACGTTCCCAGCAAACAAAATGGTGGCAACATGCCGGTATTATGCAAGCATGCTTTCAAAGCGTGATGTCTCTGTGACTGCCAGATACAAGTTCATCTAGCAAGCATCGCGATGACACGTTACGCTTACCACTCTATGCAAGCTTTGTGCAAGCAGAATATGCGTCAAATTGAAAAGTGTCGACCTCTGTCGTCATTTATCTCATTATTTTTAGCATGTCATGATATCAATTTGCTAGCATACCAACGCGTGGCATCACTGAACAACACTGTACCAATGTTTGCTGGGTTTTGAGAAGAAAATTGAAAAGAAGAGTAGTTACATTATCGACACGACGTAGTTGCGAACACAACCAATTGCTACTATTTAGTTCGTACGGTGCTCGCTGGCGCTACGAGCATCCGCCCCGCTTGCCCTCCAATCCCCGCGCCTACTCCGCGAATTTTTGACGCCGTCTGTACACATGTTATTCTATTAGATTCTCCCATTCTATCGCTACGGCACATACGCATGAAAGACTGGGCTGTCCTTACGCTGTCTTTACTCTGGATGCACGCTGATTAGCGGATCTTTATTCATTAATATTTCGTTAATTATTGCGAATTTTCCAAAGTGATATAGGACTTTTCGTCTCAAAATAACCCCTTCTACCTACCTATGAGCGGTGAGACGGTACTTATCAAACACCCTTTATGTTCTAACAATAAGATATATCCTAAGCAGCAAAGCTGAGCATCTTGACCAAGACAAAGTCAGATTGTTTTAATTAAGTGTGAAATTACCAAGTTTTGACTAAGAAGAATGTCCTAAAAGTCAAATAGTGTTTCAAGTCTTATATGTAAGTCAAAAATACATAGTTTTAACTTATAAAATGCTTTCAAAGTTCTGTGACTTTAATGTTAGACATTAAGTTCTAAATGACTAAATTTTGACTAAAGATGTGCCTTCATAGTCAAATGAACTATGAAATCAAAATGAGTGTCTCGTTTAAAAGCAATATGACTTAGTTGTATTACCTAATTTCAATTACGTAGGCAATATGTGTTAATTGGTCAAAATACCTAATTTTTATTCTATATAAACCTTGCATATTCGATTGAACTAATAAGGAAAATTTAAGGCTCGCTTTTGTACGATCGTGAGTCGTGGTGGGAGTTGTAACTTCAAAGTCGAGATTACCACAGAAGTTGCTTTATTAAGAAATTTGGATTGAAATTAGTCCAAATGACTAGCAAAAGTGCCCTTAAAGTTAGTAATTGTACTAAGCAAAAATTCACTCTGGTTACTCTTGCTACTTTAAAAATAAAAATGTCGAAACAAAATATGGAACAAACGAATATTCCAGTTTAGATATGTTCCCATGTTTTTTTTTTATAGCCACAAGTGTAAAGTGAGCACTCATTTTGACCACTTTTCCTTTCTTCACTGTCAGAACACGCAATGTGCTATCAACAAATATTAGGTCAAACTTCTCTTAAACGTAAAATCAGCCATAAAAATGAGAGCAGATATATCCGCCATGTTACATAAAAATGCTTTCTAAAACACAGGTATTAAAAATTATGTTTTATTATATTTTTTGAGTAATTTAAGCTTAAAAAAACGATGTATTTCAAAATATTTTTTATAAATCCAGGTTCAAGATTATATAGTTTTATTGTTCTAAATGAAAAAATTCATAATTGTTAAATAAGTAATAATTAATTAATAGATGTTTAAATTATTTGTTTTTAAAAGCACGTTCATTTTACGTAATGTAACATTAAAATCTGGACAGAAAATTTTCTTTCCTCTTTATATTTTTGTCATATATCACGCGATATATATGTAATTTTAAAACTAAAGTAACGGTGGACTACTAATAACTTATTTCAGATTTCTATCACTGGCCAGAGTCCAAATTATGTATATAAATATAGCAGATCCTGCTCAGTCAAAAATTTTCCATGTATAAAATTGTATGGACATATTCGATATATAAATTTGCGTAAGTAGATATAATAAGTTTAAAATTTGTGTATAAGTACATATCATTATATATCAAAAATTTTTTTAAAATATAGTAAAAATATAGTTTTATACAATTTTTTTATATCTAACATGATACTAATAGAGTTATTTTGTAATTTGATATGGAATATCTCTGAAGCTATTCTCTTAAAAAAAAAATTCTCCGTGAATAAAATTGTATGGACATATAAATTTGCATAATTAGATATAATTATTTTAATTTGTGTATAAGTATATATGAAAAATTTTTTACCGGATGGTCTAGATTGAATAATATAAAATGTATATTATGCTGCCATCTTATGTCTCGAAGGAATAAGCTGCGTCGCCAAAAAAAAAAGACACAAATTTGTCACAATTAAGTCAGAATTATCAACATATTACTAATATTCGATCTTCCACGATGTTCTACGGTTGGCCAAATTGGACTACGACATATAGGGCAAAATGCCTTGCATTACTTGATTTTGACTGAAAAATGACGAAAACTTTTTCCCCCACTTAATGTTATTCGACGTCGATTCGTGGTACATAAAACTTGGTCAAGAAAACTTTTGGACCTATTACCCAGATAGCACATGAATGTCCATAGGATATATAATGGACGTCCAAATTCAGACATCAGGACGTCCATTGGATGTCCGAATAAACTCCAATGGACGTCCACTGATTGTCTTATGGACATCCATTTTTGACAATTTTGGTTATCCATTTGTTTTCCAAAAATAAACCTAAAAAAGATAATTTTAGCGTAATTTCACAGTAATATTAACATGTCCACCGATNTGCATCACATTACTGTGATATATAAAAAAAAGAAAAACCAATGGCACATCACCTTGTGGAAAAAGAATTAAAAAAATTAATTCAAAATTTCACTTAACTTAATTTTTAGAAGCCTGATTCAGGTTATTAATCAACTGATTAACTCGATTAAAGATACCAATCCCGGAAAAAATCTTAAAGCGATAGTGAGGTTTGAGCTCGAGACCTCATACTCAGCCCTTGCACTCAGTCCGTGAGACCACTTGTTCTTTTCTAAAATGTAATTATTTTTATCTACTTATTCTCAAACTATCCTACGCACTTTATTTATTATTTAAATTATTATTTTAAGTCTTCATCAATTATTAAAAATAGTGCAGAGCAATGTACCTGTACCAATAGATAAAAATAGTTTTTTTATTATTATTAAATATAATTTAAAATACCTTTTCACAACGTAAATAAATTTTTTGTTAATACTAATATACTGATTATTATAGTCAATACTTAATATAATATATAGCAAATAAAATATATGACAATATGTATACACATTTATGTGTATCATTATTATATAATAATAATAATTATATAGTAAAAATGTTATACATACATAAAGTGTTTTTTTTTTTTATATATATAATACATTTTAAAAACAAAGCGTTTATGTTTCAAACAAAAATTGTAGGAATTTTGCAACAATGTAGCAAAAGATATATGTATCATATTATATATAATTAAAATACGATGCGATGTATGCAACTTGCCAAATAGTAAATAACAT